CAACACACACATTAGTTAATACACATGACACTTGAGGCCACTTCCTGCCCACATCGAAAGAGGAACCGGAAAGCCGTTAAGTAGCTAAACTTAAACAACTCACCAATGTAAGAATAAAGAAGCAAACAAACCGGGAGACATTTAGACATTTAATTTCGCATTCGCGCTCATAAAATTTAGCCATAGTTACAACAGAAAATCCATTAACTTGTCGAAATGTGCGCCGAAACTGATTCCGATGACGTCTTGCTGTTGTCAAGTGGTCACACTTTTCGGCATCAGCACTATTAACAGCTTTCGTTACATTTATAAGTAAGTATGTATGTAATTATGTATGTATGTATGTATTCATTGTACTTTGCATGGCATTAGCACCCACTGCTCCGGCTATCACTCCGACCTCGGCTGCCATAAAATAATGCTTTTTTTATGCTCCCTTCCATTTGGCTCGTTGACGGTAGAATCATAAAACCACTCATGCAACAACTACAATGTGCCATTTATGCCTTTGTCTGGCAAACTAGCAGCCCATCCCCAGCGGCTGCCCTTTTGTTCTCTGTTTGCTGCATAGTTGTTTACATATTTATGTGTGAATGTAGGTGTGTCCTTTATTTTCCTGAATTTTGTAGTTCCTATTCTGCCTTTTGTCTCTAAACTGAAGTTTTAATGTCACTTCATACGAGTACATAGATATCTACATATATATGTAAATGCATAAGGTATTTTAACTTATCAAAGTATGCAGTATATAATATCTAAGCAAATTCAAATATTGTTCGGTATTTTGTTTATTAAACGGAATGTCAGATATATACAGGGTGCTCCATCTATATGTGGTCAACGGAAATTTTGTATAACTTGAACAAGTTTCAATGAATTTTGATTAACTTTATTTATTATCAAATCTAAAGCCTTGTAATTTTTTCCAGCGACGTTCGAAAAATAACGACGCTTAAATGACCCCCTTCATTGCGCAAACAAAACTTCGCTCTTTTTTCGGCATTTTCCATGACATTTGCCAGCATCTCTAGCGAAAGCCCAGCGATTTCAGCTCGAATGTTTTTTCTTCAGCTCGTTCAAAGTCTTCGGTTTGTTGGCATACACTTTGCTTTTGAAAAATCCCTACAAGAAAAAGTCTTGTGGAGTCGAATTGGACGATCCTGGTGGCCCGTCGATGGCTCCTCCTTTCGTTACCACTTTGTACGTTCTTTGGGCGCAAAAAAGGCCAAAAAGCTTTTACTGCACGCATTCGGTTGAAATTTGTCAAAGTTATTCAATGTTTCCATTGACCTTATGTAGATGGCGCCCCCTGTATATATTCTAAATAAGTTCTAATTGTATATAAATACATATATACCTTGTTTTTCTTTTTTAATTATAAACTAAAAAAAATGCAAAATTGCGTCTGGTAATATATATAATTCATCATAAGCTTTTTAGTCGAGTCTGCTTACTGCAGATATCAAGAGAAGCCCGGTACAGGCAGAATATGAGCGCTTGGCATACATTTCTCTTACACATTTCGTGCTGCTTATGAGTGCTCTCAGAGAGCAGGTGTGAAAATCGTAAAAAATACTTATATGCTCTTTACTCAGGAGTCGAACCGAATAAGGATTGAAGTGATTTTCGCCGGGCTCCTCGTCCAATTCTACCTACAGGTTATTTTAAGCCGCCGTCGGACGATCGATGGATTTTCATGACGAGCTTTTATTTCAAGTCTGAAATATATTCCGAGGGCTTGACATTCAATACCAAAGGGACAACCGCTACTAGAAAAATGCATTTCTCATTGTGTATGGAACTGCCTCAGACCATATACATACGTGTATTTTTTGGAAATAGTGAAACAATTACAACAACAACGGACGGTAGAAGTTATAGCTGCTATTTCGGAAGCCACGTTTCCTCATCAGGCTTTTTTTTACCAGACACCTTTGTTCGAATTGAATTCGAACTTGGAATGCCCATATCAGGAGCCAATGGTTATCCCATTAAGCTACATTTGTGCCGCTTACAGCTACAGAATGTCTGAGCACTTGATCGTGGAATTGTAGGTTAAAGGAAAAAGTGAAAAACAACAATAAGTGAAATAGAGACAGTTCCATAAAACTTAAAAACAACAACAATAAGCTGATTTTTCAGTAATTTTGGTATTGGCCGGACTAGTACTCGAACCCTGACGTTCCAATTGTAGTACGCAGTACCATCCATTCAGCCAGTGAGGCCGTCATCTGCGTTAGAATCACGAAAATACACATATCAGGTACAGCCGATTGTTTTGGCGGGTGTTTTGTGGAATCTTTTATTTGTTACACAATTTTTCGGGCACCGGCGAAGTCGATTTTGGGTAAGTCTCATCAAAGGACTGAATACCCGACCATAGTGCCAAATATACCTTTTTTTCTACCTCTTTCACTCTCTCGTTGTATTCGCTACGCATGATGTTGACACCGTGGCGCAGCGCTCATAAGGTATTCAAGCGTTCGGCTGTGCTTCTCTTCTAGTTTTGGTTCGGAATGTAGCGAGAAGTACCTCCACTGGACATAACGCCAGGGTTACTTTCACTCCACAAATCATATACAATTACTTTATTGTTATTCTTATATAAATAGACACTTCCTGAAAGATATATTAAGCTTTAAGTTACTAATTGTTTTGTTAGAATAAAAAAAATCTATTCTGCCCATGATTTTTTTGGGAATATTTTCGCCAAATCATCCTGCTGTCTTCATGAATAATTAAAATTGACATCAACATTAGGATTCGATATTCTTAAGCTGCGAGTTTTTTATCAGCACCAAAACAGTTGCTTCCTCCCACAAGCACCATCCCGTTGGAGCGAGAATTAGCAACTGGGCTACTCTCATTGAATTTGCTCTTCCCAAATCCTGTTTGACAAGTCAAACAGTAAATTAGCGGCGTCGGAGAGGGAGGAAAATGTTAGATAAAAAATATTTGTTAATTACTAATTTGTATCGAAAACACAACATCATCTCGCTAATCACTCGAGCGGCAGTGCGATGGGAATGTCCAAGTGGCCTGTAAATTAGCTTATCTCATTTCTTACCGAACATATAAGAATTTAATTACGAATTCAAGAAGCTAAAATTCTTTTTTTTTTTACTTTAAAGAAATGGTATGAGTATACTTTTAGATATAAACAAATTGCGCGCATAAAACAACAAAAACAAATGGTCGCTACCAACTCATGATGTAATACACCTTTATCCCCTTTGAGCGTATTTAATGTCCTTTCAGCCGAAAATGTAAATAAAAAAAAAATCATCGAAAAAATTATCGGCAAAACCCATAAATATGCAACAGCTTTTAGTGTACAGGAAATTGAAACAAATCTAATAAATGGACCAAAAAATGGTTATAACTCCTGCGCCACTCGGGCCACACTGCTTTTACGCCATGCTTATGCCTTTAGATTTTTTTCTGAGTAATTTTTATTTGCCTTCAAGTTGGCTTTGGGCGCCTGGACGGTCTACTCGAAAAACATCTTTTGCATTTTTAAGTATTTGCCACAATTGAACTTTCACTTCACGTGCAGGACACGCAAATAATAACAGCGTCGCGCTTTGTTGGCCTTCCGCTTCAAAGCTAGTTCAGTTGAGCACTTCACTTTGCTCCCAAACCAAACTCTGCCACTTATCCTGCTGCTACTCCATCCACGGCTCGCTTTCTCCTCCGTCGCCGCGTTTCGAAGGCGTAGATTATGAAATTAGCATATTTTTTCTACCGAAATTACCTTAACCAAATTCCACTTTTAACTTGAAAAAAGGAAGAAACGAAATTGAAATTTTCTTTCAACCTCTCCAGAGCAACCGAAGCAAATGAATGAAGTAACTTACAACCTGCATGCACCCACCCCTCATCTCCCTTGCTGCTCCGATACACTTTGGTTAAATACATTTTTTTAAATTCTATTCAATTAAACTTGTAATTACAGTGTTTTTTAATTTACATGTTGCATGTGGTTGTTGCTGTTGTAAATGCTACCGATTTCTTAAAGCAAACTAAATTTTTTACCAGCCCTCCGCACTCTTTCTGACGAATTTTATAAAAAACTTGTACTTTCGTTTGATTTTCTTGTTGGCTATGTTGTAAATAACGGTTTTTTTGTGTGGTTCTTAAGCGTAAAATTACCAATTTCAATGCTTGTTTACTTTGTACTTTCTTTTTGTTCTGAAGATAGCCACTTCATTTATTTGGTTGTTGCCAACCATGGAAAGGGCAATGAGATTTAGAAAAGGCACAATCATCGGAGAGCGAGTGTAGTTACGTCAAAAATCTCAGAGCTACGGTTACTTTGGTTTGGGTTCACTGTAGATCCCTGGATGGATCTCCATTTGATATGGAAGAGATGAAAGAGATATCTTTCCAGTTCGGTTGCAATTCTAGACGTAAGCGAGAAGTGCTCCAATAACACGGTTCAAAATGTACCGAAATTTGGAATTTCCGCTGGGAAATTTCGGTATTTGCTTAAATCGGTCAATACGGTGGAGGGGTTAATTTAAATGCTACGCTAGAAGAAGACGAAAAGTAGTGTGAAACAAAAAGGCAACGTTTGGTTGGATAAAGGGCCTTAAATAAACTACCTGGTTTATGGACACTTCCAAAGTGTGCTATATTAGAGAACTAGTTATATAACCGTTATTCCATTTTCACAATACAATGCAATGTGAATTCAAAAGTTTCTCGTGAAAGTGAATTTGTGTGCTCCTATCATTAATTCACACTTCTGATTTTTGCACTCCTTTTCTGTCACTCATATCAGTTATCCCTATGGCACTTCACAAAGATCTGTAGCAGAAACCTCACTTCCAGTTTTAACGATGTGTGAGATTTTACAAGGTATCCTCAGGAGATCGTTATAAATATGAATATCATTAAACATATTTTGCAAATATTATAATTTTTTTTTAGATAAAAAATCAGTGCGCAAAAATTTAAACATAGGAATACTTTTATTCCTCCATTTTTCAATTCATCACAACACAGCACGCGGATTTAATTCATTAAATTTATATGGATACCGGAGTTGGAGCATGAATTATGTGATCTCAATCTGAAGCCACTGGGAAATTTGTGATTGTGAACATGGGAGCCCATCTGATAAAATATCCAGTAAGAATTTAATAGTCGAATTATTGTTTTTCAAAATTTCTCTTTTCTTTTTTTGATGCATTTGAACCAATTACCTGCGTACTGTATCTCCAACACATGCGTTCCGAAGCAGAAATCATTCGGTGCCAAGTCAGGACTATATCGTGGATGTTTCATGAAATGGATAGTTCGAGTACACAGCAATTTCGCTACTTCAGTCGATGTGTGAGAGCTCGTAGTGTCATGGTGAGGGGAGATCCGTCTTCGGTTGGCAAACAAATGGTTGTGTATTGCTGAGAGTTCACAGTTCTGCGTCATTCTAGTGGTACGGTTATGAGCGAAATACTTTTGTTGGGTTCGACTCATTTTTAAACACTCCTACAGTTAACTGCTTTTTATTTTCGGACTCATGCGCATATCCATGATTCATCACCCGCCAAGAATTAATAGACGTGTTTCGAAGCACCACTCTCGTATTTTTCAACATTTCTCTCTACCATTCGCTTCCACAAAATGAAGGGAATGCAATGTGAACAATTTTTGTTTACAACTCATTTTGAGCGACGTTCACGAAATTGGTCTTGGGGGGATCTACGATCGCGATCACGTACTAAGGGTAAACACTGGTCTTTGACGTAGCTTCATCACCGAAAATTTAATTAAATTCATCGATTCACTGTTGCTGAGTCGTTCTACGTCAATAGTTGTAAAAAACAATCCTGCGAGAGTGCTTATACAATATATGAATTGCATTTGTGGGCCCTGATGATATTTTAAGTTACTGTAGAAACCATAACGGGCGCTATATGCCAAAATGTTCAGAGTATTCGTAAAATCAAAAATGTCAAACTTGACGATAAAGTTTTCAGTTGACAGATGGCAACATTAGGGTTGTCAAATCCCGAAATATAATCGGCAACCTTCGTTATGGATAGTAAGGATATTTAGGATATACGAATATGTGACGACATGAAAACACCGACCATACCAAAATGAATTTATTTTGGGTTTCATCGCGTTTGGCTTGTAAGTGGCTTAAATATTCAAATTTGAACAAAAACGTTAGAAATAGTATCATAATTTCTTTGGAAGTGAACTATCCCAGGGCGAATAGTAATAGATTATAGTCCAGGATTACGAACCGACCTTTCCGAAAAGAAATGAAAAAGACAGAGGGAGAGCCGATTCCAAGCTGCTGATGGATTTTCATGAGCAGCGCTGAATTTACTGATATTTTTTTAAATTTGGAATGTTGGTGAGAACTTGTGGTCTGTTTAGACTTGTACCATCAAAAAGTTCCAGAGCCTGAGAAGTGTGTTTTATATTTATACTACTACTACGTAAAATTTTTTATTTTAGATTGGTACAAAACATGTGAGGGCTCAAGCGGCGGGTGGTTAGCATTACGTACTAATTTTCTAATGGCCAGAGTTCGAGTACTGGCCCGACCAAAATCTAAAATTATATAAATCAATTTTCCTAATTTCAGTCCCCCTCGGCAGGGATTTTCAAGCACTCCTAGTGAGTTTCTGACAATAAAATAAATAAAAGCTCCTGATAAAAATCAATCAGCCGTTCGGAGGAGGGTTAGAATAAACTGTAGGCTCCTCATTGTTTTGGTACAGCACAGATTGGGGGAGGAGCTGAAAATCGATTGAGTGTATACTTTATTCAGGAAGCAAACCCACCAGAACGAAAAAAAAGGAGATTCAGAAAAAAATACTTACACTATTTGATTTATTAATCATCAGTATTTTGGGCTTATAATGTGTTTCATTTATAGTTTTGTATGTAACCTTTAAAGTCTCTTCCCTCCTTCTTCCTTCTACCCAACACTTTGTCTTTACCATTGGCTTTTATTCAAAGCCCCAAACTCACTTTTATTTCATTCGCATTTATTTAGAGAGTTTCCGCAATTACAGTAAAGCTCCGCCATAAAATGAGTCCTGTAAATGTTTATATTGGAAAATAATAACGATACGCCCACAAAAAATAATAATTAAACTTTATCTATGTTGTTGCAGACGTTGAGCGCTGATAATGTTTATCCAAACTCTGCCGCGCATCGAAAATAAAAATAACAACAGGAGCATAAAGAGGCAGGAACAAATTTAACATAAACAGCAACATTTTCCCAATCAACAACAACCGCCTTTGTTTCGTTTTCTAAGCGAAAATGTCAAAATAATAAAACATTTTGAATTGACATTTGATGCTGCTTTTATATGGCGCTCAGCGTGTGGCGCAAATAAAAAAGCGAGTAAATAAAGTACACTGGATAAATGAGAATTGCCGAAAATACCTTGAGGCTTTAATTTTTAGTGTTCGCCCGCTTTCTCTTTTGGGAGCGTATCGAGCAGTGCGGCGGGGCGGTGCGGTGCGGTAGAGTAACTTTGGCCGGTGGGTGGAGGCTCGTAGAAGCAAAGGGCGCATCAAAAAATCATAAAAGCCACAAAAATGACAAGACTATAATAACGGTTTACAGCGGACTATTCACAAAAATATGTGTGTGTGTATGTGTGTGTGTTCGCAGACAGACAGACGCTTGCCTTGAGCATAATCGTTAAATTGTGTCATTTTGCAAAATTTATGCAATTAGAAATTAATATTATACAATTTGGTTGATTGTGCCCGTGCTCCTCATAAAAATGTGCATGCAAAATGTGAATAAGAATCGAGATGGATGACAGGATAAGAAGCCCGGGAAGCGCTATTGCTTAACTATGCGACTGACACTGTCATAAAATTCGAAGCAGAACTCGATGACTTTCAATGGCGCATGCTGCTCTGCCTTTTCTAAGTAACTGCGGGTATCCTCGTACGGAGTCATGTCACTCCGACGCCCCACCACCTCGCTCCTTGACTGGTGTTGATGACATTTATGCGCTTTTTAACGCATTTTACTACATTTTAGCGCATTTCACAGAGTAATAAGTTGAGCTCCTCACATCTCGCGTCGTCTATTGCATTTTTATGCCACTAACGTTCAGTTTTATTTCCACTTATTCGCATTTATTTGCTTTCACATGCATTCGTGACTTACTTACACACACATACATGCATATATGTGTGTGTATTTCGAATTGTGTACTTGTGCTCCTCACCTCCTCTTGCAATTCCTGATTCGCCACCTTCGCTCCGTTCACGCCGCTTCTGTCTCTGACATCTCTGACAGGATTTCTACTTCTGCTCGAGCATAAAATGCGTAAATTATTTAATTTTGTGGACGCATTATTAAAATTGTTATTACCAACGAATAAGCAGTTGTGGGTCGGTAGTTTCAGCTAGGTTTTATAGTCTGGCTACTGGTTATTACGTTACGAATGCGGCATGCCACTTGCCTAGTTTTGGGTTATGCGCTTATAAATACAAATCTCGGATTTGTCAAACGTAATTTGGAGCTGATAAAGCAATGGCGGGGCGTCCATCTCGCGGACAGTTCCGCAGAAACCGAGTTGGTGTGACAAATTTGTGGTCATAACTCTTGCTTTGGTTATTATTTTCGTAAAAATGTCCTTGATCGGCTATTAATACAGCAGCAGCAATTATGCCATAGGTCAACTCGAGAGTGTTATATGAGTTGTTGAGAAATATCTGACCTCCCTCGCGATTGCTGAATGTTCTCTCTGAACCAGTCTATAGTGCCGGATTACGTAGGAAACACTGGGATATTGAATTTTCTTTCGTCCAAAAAGTAACAAATCCCTCTCCGAGCCTTTTGAGGATTTTCCTTATCGTGCGACTTTTTTAACTTACTCCTGGAGAAAATAATTCAAGCTGCAGAGCTGAATAGAGAAGGCCATTATTGGCCTAACCAACCACGCCATAACTTCTGACTGGATAGGGAAGTGAAGGGTATGAGTCTAGTAGCGAATGAGGGTAAGAGGAAATATTGGCCGCCATTAAACTTTGGCAACGGAGAATACCGCAGCCGATGGATCGATGAGTTGTACAAGATATATATATACAATTCAGCAAATTAGGAGCGCTGTGTCTAGGTCATGTGGTCCGGATGGGTAGGAATACTACAGCTTTGAAACTTTTCGCTAAAAAAATGTTTCGATATTGTCGCATTTCAAAAGGGTTTCACTAATGGATTTAAGGCTCCATGAAACATCGAACTCTTTTGAGTAGCGCTTTTATCTTTTTTATAGTAGAAAGGCATCGCGTATTTTTTGGGAATTATCACACATTTTCATATAACAATAACTCTTCTTTATGAATTACGATTTAGGGAACTATCTTCAGTAAAAATATTGTCAAAGGTTGCAACACATTCGGATTAGTGCTGCCCAAAACGGAACTATCAACAACATCTAGCGACAAATACGGAGACTTTTTACATTCACGTTACTTCCTCATGTTTCAATAGTTTTCGCTGCGGAATTTTGGAATTAACACTGTGATGCGAAACTATGGGAATGAGAAATTCTTTTAAGAACATACTCAGATGAATATGTAAGTGAATTTGTACTTGGCCGGGCGAAACATGGTTACATCATGTAATTCGGCCAGCAAACTTTCAATTCCGATGAGTCTCACAACAAAAGCACAAACTTTCACATTCATCGTTGGTCTGAACTTACAGTGAGTTTTTAATGAAAATGCGTGGGGAAACGTAATCGAAGATAAAAACGTGTGAATGCACAACGAACGGAAGCGATTGGAGAATATGGTTTTCCATTAAGAGAAATCCTTTGGTATGTGAAGAAGGAGTTTGTGGCTTAATTCATGCGGCTGCCGACCACAGCACCAACATTTTCTCCTGGTAATTAATTAACTCATTTGTATATACATATATACACGCATGTGCATAAAGAGAGCTGCACATGGCAGTACATAACGAAATATTTGCCCTCGACCATTTCTTAGTCGAACCACCGTTTCATTCATTGACCACCAGAATCTTATTGGAATGTATTCTGTTACTAGTTGTTACAAAGTGCATTTCAGCCAGACATGTACATATATCTGTGTGTATCTGAAACTATGTAATCGTATGCTTTGCTTATCATCAAAAACTTCATACGTGTTTTGTCGCACAAAAGTTTTACACTCCCCCTTTGAATTGCAGACATTTGAGTAAGCAAGCGCGTGAGCATCTAGGGTCCGACCGATATACAAAATTATAGAAAATAACTTTTTCTAATTGCGGTCGCACGTCGGCAGAGAGTGTCAAATCCTCCGAATGTGTTTCTGACATTGAATACAAACTCTTCCCAAAAAACCATCAGCCGTTCAGAGGGGCTTTGGAATAATCTGTACATCCCTCCATTTGTTGGAAAATCATGAAGAGATGTCAATTTGTGCAAGGAGCTCGTGGAAAATCGCTAAGGCGGCGGGAAATTAGATAATCTCTGAAAATATTTCTGACATAAAAGACAGCTTGAATTTCATTTAATTTCATTTTCTAAGCAAGGAAATCTTGCGATTTGTGCATTTTTGTCAGCCGCTATGCTAAAGCAGAAACAAAATATTATACTTGTTATATACAATACATACGAGTATGTCATCCTGCTTTCACCTTTATGAATTTGCCTTGAGTAGAGCTATGAACGAGTTTCGAAGGATTATCGAGTTACTCAATACCTGAGTATCTAGAGCTCTTATGTAATGAAATTTGTCATACAAAAGGATTTTTGAATTTAATCTTTACTTTATTGCTGGAGCAAATAATATGAGCTGCAGACCTGAAAAGAGAAGGCACTATCTTCTATAATAGTGTATAGCTGCTGGCGTACGCCGATGATATTGTC